AGGAGGTCTTACCTGGAACACAGTGAGGATGGCTGCTGGGAAGGTATCAAAGTTTGTTGTTGGCGTCTCCTTTTCAAAGTTAAACCTAAAAGAATCAGAATCAGAACATCATTACAAAACTAAAAATAATCAAACTGTAGCAACAGTCAGATCTCAATGGCATCTGCCTGCAGTTCAGCAGAGGCTGCATTCTTTCATTTTTAAATAAAAAATAGAAACCACTTGGATTAATAACGTTAGGAGCCTGTTGCTGTCCAAGCATCCTGCTTCTGCTCATGAGAAGATGAGAAGCATGACACGGCACAAAAACAAACACAGTCACATTGTGAGTGGAAGCTGCACCATTTCTTATTTCTTCTTTATCTCCTTGTCTGTGACACTTTTATTGTCGATCCACAAGGTCCCCAGAGGTTTATATAATCTGGCTAAACTGTTGTGTTGTGTTGTACAACCTGTCCCATCATCTAACTGCTGGTGAATATAAGACTTGTTGTTCCCAGAACTCAGCAGATAACTTTTTATCAATAACTGATAGAAATTATGACAAAAAAAAACAACACAAAAATAATAGTAGTTATTCTTTAACCACCAAAACCTCAACCGAATGCTACGTTTTCCCCTAAACCCAAGTCTTAACCATAAAACCCTAAAGGTATTGAATGAATGAAATGAGAACCAGACAAAATGTCCTCAACTTCAAAAAATGTCTGAAACTCACATCAGCCCTCACAAAGACAGAAGTGCAACACAAACATAGGAGTATGTTATTGTTCAGATTCAGGGAGAGACTAGTGTATTCAAAGATGAAGGGAGATGTCTCGTACTGATAATGGATGAGACAGAAGGGGAGGTGAAGAGACATGCAGCCGCAGGAAACACCAGTCACCAGGGAGCCACAGCTCCAACTTTCAAGTCCAAAACCCACTGCCTCTGTAACTCAGGGCTGCACCATGTGACACATGTCACATGGTGCAAAAATTAGGAACAGACCAAAGGGGTTAATCATCTAATATCAACCAAATATAGAGTCTGGAGTGATGCCCAGATTGATGAAGTTGCTCTTCTTTTAAGTTCCTCACCTGTAGAAGGTTTCTGCTCACCAGGAAAGGTCTTTTTAAAGCACTCTATTCATGATACTAGGAATGTGGTAGGTCTGGGTATTTGAGTTTCTCCGTGTCCGCTGTGACTGATCATGATGGCATGATGGCATGATGGAGATTTTCATCACAAAATGGAGCCTACATTCCGCCGGTTAGATTGACACCTCATCTGACACAATAGGACCTTCTATAGCCCGGCCACAGTCTGGAACAGCCAACGAGAGTCCGCTTTGAAAGACAATGCCCGCCTCACTTCTTTGGGTATAGATCGAGCCAATCGCAACAGATCCAGTTCAAACTCAGGCTCCATATAGCCAATGAAATTACGAAGCCAGGGATATGCAGATTTAGCAGATTGAATGCTGGGAAAGTTTTCTAACCTGAACTGGAAACCATGAGTCAAGTTCCTGGGACAGAGTGTGAAGACTAAAGTCTGGTTCATGAGAATCTTCAAGAATCTGTGAAAGTTGATAATGGTTAAATATGATATAATTGCCCATACATCAACATAAATAAACTGTAGTTCGAATTTCAAACACGTAGTATATGCATTTTTGACGTGGTAACGCGGGCCTCCAAATGCGCTTTTACGCAGCGCACTCTCAGTAAACCACGTGTGAAATATTAATTTTCTGTCGTATTGTAATCAAATTTTAAACTTATACTAGGCGACATGACTGTTAGCTGTGGAATGAGAGTCTTTTTCAAGCCTGTAAGTCCCAGCCATAGATAGCTGCTGCCATCTGTTGGCCAAAACAAATCTAGGCGGAAGTAAAATGCTTCTCTTTCACTGTGCTGAAAACGCATTAGCTCAATGCTAGTAGCACATACGGTGATTCTGACTGATTGTGAAGAAACTTCAGAGTGTTGCCGTTCAACAAAGACTAAAACCATACATGTACTCCCAATGGTTCAATAAGAGCTGTCAGTTTACTTTGGGTACGCAGTTGATAGGCGTTTTAGGCAAATTATGCAGGAATGAGAAGAGGAGAAGAAGGAGAACTCATTGTGGCTGATGTTAAATCAAACCATCTGGCCATCAGTAATGGACTACCACAGGGGTCCCCTTCGGCTCACCGCTATTACATTATGCAATATATAACATTATTCCTCCTAATCAGTACATTAAAGCCATTTTTTGTGCTGGTGATATTATTTTGTTGAATGCCACTAAGACAACACTTGTTTTAAATGCAGATAAGGCAGAGTACATGGTATCTCTGCATCCACCTGTGTCTTTCACTATCCTGTCATTAGGACTTGAAATTATACCCACACCATCTTGCCGACTCATATAAATACTTTTTTGCAGACAATGAAAAACAGAACTTTTCGTTAAGTCAAGGTGTAAGTCTGTTCTTGACGATAGAGCCCAGCATCACTTAAATCCAGTCACATCACAGTGCCATGACATCTTGCATTCTCTAATCCAAAGTTACCGAAGAAGGTTGATTAAAACACTGTTCTGTGAGCTTTTGTGCTTCAGCTATTTCACAATAGAGGAAACTTTGTAGTGCAAATGCCAAACAGGCATAGAAATAAAGAATACGACGGTACATGCACCTTTGCTGGACAATAGAGCCCACTGAATCCCTCTGAAGGGACAAGGACAGACAGGAGTGCTGTTTACATGCTTTAGTGTTCGACTATGTCAAACATGATCATTTCATTCCTTCTTGAATATCTTTTAATATTTAGGTGTATGAGAGTAGTTTTAAATAACACAGCTTGACAGACAATACAGTTGACACAACACACCACAATTAAGGAATATTCATGCCAGTGCTTATCAAGTAACGTCCATGACCTTCATATGGGATCAAATGTTGACATTTTTAGTTGAAATGTCATTGTTACCTCTGCTGTATGGAATGCATGACATGTCTCAAACTATGAACAACCATATAATTCAAATCACGAGATGCGTCGAATAAAGCGGAGGAGCAAGATGGGAGAAAAACACACGGAGGAAGCAGAAGGGCCTGTAAAGAATTAGGAGGGGAAGTGGAGCACATTGTTACCACAACGACCGTCTGCACAAATGACAGCAGGTTTCTCCTTCTCAGAGCAGATCCTGTGATATGTGTACGTACATTTGTGTGTGTGTGTGTGTGTGTGTGTGCGTGCGTGTACTGTATGCATGTGTACTTGATCCCGAATGATCCTGGATTTTGGAGGCGGATACTTATATTGATTTTTGAGAATGACTAATATTTAGAGTCATAACAAAAACATGTAGTGATGAAAGTAAGTCTGAAGAGAGATATTTCACAGCTGAATGACAATAAACAATAAATGTTATCATCAAAGATTAATGTTAGAGTAAAAATAAATAACAGGAAACTGATTTGAATGACAATAACCACACAAATGAAATAGTGTTATAATAAAGTTTACTCAAGAACATTTTAAGGCAAATCAACAGCCAATAAAACATTTAGTGCTTCTCTGCAACTGTTTTTTTTTTCCATTTGTGCCGACACCAGTATGCAAAACAGTATATGGCCACACACATTAATGTGTACCTTTGGTGTAGGTCTGATTTTCATGGTTTAGGCCTCTTAGTTCCAGTTCATGAAAACTCAATGCTTCAACATACAATGATGTTTTACACAACACTGTGTTTCCAACTTTGTGGCAAGAGCTTGTGTAGAGTTGTTTCTCGTTTCAACATGACAATGCTCCCGCGCACAAAGATGGGTCCATAAAGGACTGGTTTTCCCAGTTTGACTCGGAGTCCTCACCTCAACCCTATCCAACACCTTTGAGGATGAACTGACACTGAGCCTGGGCCTCATCAAAAGGCCATGGTTTTGTATGTATCCACATACTTTAAGCCATGTGATGAACCAGTGGAAGTCCAATAATATCAACCACTGTGTATATCGGCCTGGCTCTAATGTGTACTGTACATGCATGAGGGAGATGAGGGTGTGTGGGAAGAGAAGGAGAAGGGGGAGGGGCTTTTAATCCAATCAGCCATTTTCTCCCTTTGTGTGTCATCATATTCTCTCTCCCCATACTTCTCTTCTTACATTTGTCTCTCTCTGTCCTATTACTGCTTCGTCCATCACCCGGACCCTTTCTACTGTAAGCCATTGCTCATCTCTTCATCACTTTCTCCATTTCACATAAGCCTCTACCTCTCCCCTTCCTTTCCTGCTCTCTACCAATTTCCTCCCCCCTCCCTCCATCCTCTCCTCCTTCCTTGAGGATTAGCGGGCCCGGTGCGGGGAGCGACGGTGGTTTGCTGCTGCGCCTGTGTGCGCCGACCTCTGTTTACTCTGATAATAGGGATTGGGAGCGTGCTGCTCGGCTTCCGCACGACATCCACCGGGACTTCATTAAATCAATCCTGAAAAACAAGCATCATGTGAGGCCAAACTCCCCTCCAGCTCGTGCCCTAGCCCTTTCCATATCCAATCCCTCAAACGATAGCAGCAGGTTGACAGTGTGTGGGTGAGAACACACAGGCGTGTGCAAGTGGTTTGGAGATAACGGCTGTATGATATTGATATAAAAATAACCGGCATACTGCTGAGCATTGGGACTGTGACATGACACACGTGACACCCTTCTGCTTTCAGAGAAGTCAAGAAATAAAACTGGCTTTTACTATATAAGGAAGGTCTGAATACAAAGAGGCAACACCCTGTATACAGTTATTGTTGGTATTACGACCCAAAATTGCCCTAAATATGTTTGCGTTATTTTCAATACACTGGTAATATTTTTCAATATTGTAAGAATCTGAAATTCATACAATATCTATTCGTCATATCATATACCTGTGAAATTAGCTAGCCAGGAAGCTAACTACACAGGCAACGTGGCTTTTTTAATCTGTATTTATTAGGCAACAATAGCGCTTCCTACCATAACGTGTTGCCAACAAGCTCCATAAACCATGTGATCAGTTTTAGGAATAACTGGTTGGTTAAATGATAACTTTAAAAATTATACATTTTAAGAAACTTGGCACGTGTGATACATAGCCTGGGGACAAGCGCTGCCTTAGAAGACACGTTAGACATTTGTTTGTGGAGATTGAGACCTGTTTTTAGTTGACTTTGGTTCTGAATTTCATCATTTGTATGAGAGATTTGAAGTGATTGACATCCTAACAGTTTGACCAATTGTGATGGAATAATTTAAACAATTGAAAGAGTCAGGAAAATGATGGGAATTGGTTGGATTAGCTTTATATCATTGCAAGATTACACATTCCTGGACGGACTGATTATTTTAATTTCAGATTAATCTTGCTACACCTTCTGATTAAATGCTAAGTTTTTAAAATGTCATGAGGTAGGTAAACTACTTGGCATTCAGAGCAAAACCTTTTTTAGTTTGAAGTGATAGTCACAGTCCAACCAAGAGGTTGCACTGAGCCTGCACACTAAGGACTGAGCTGAAAATATAAAATGCCATCTCTACTGTTTCCGACAAAGTCAGAGTTAATCAACAAAGACGGTCTGCACTTTTAAAACTGAAAGCTACAAAGCAGCAACCAGGGAAAATAAATCATTACTCTATTACAGTAAATCCTCAATGCTTCCTTTGAGCTTATCACTTTTTTTCTCTCCAAACAGTCGGTGATGTCCTGTGAGGCTCAGCAGGGAGATGGTCCCCTGCCTCAAGCTGTTTATCTTTCAATTCTCACAATTTTACCAGGAGATTACGCTTGGTGCTCTGAGAGCAGGAACATAATCTCTGTGCCAAAAATAAAGTCGGAATATTAGAAAGCATCTCTTCTCATCTTTAACGAGCTAATTCATCTTCTATTTAGAGTTAAAGGCCTACTTTTCATTACATTATCTGCCTGTGTGTTATTTAGTTTTGATACAATTAAATGTTCTGAAACAAAAACTGACATTATCAGCAACCACAAGAATAGAACTCAAGATTCTTGACTCAAGAAAATGAAATCATTTGACACCCTGTGTGCATTTTTAGACTTTAAGGTGAAAATGTAGACTCTCGGTCTGATGCGTTCGGCTTGCTGGAAGCACCGTGTGGACGTCAGACTCATCTCACACTTGTCCATCACCGGAGAATAACGCCATGCTAATGGTGGAGCAGACGCATGTAAGGCTCTGCACCATGGCAACAGCCTGCTGCTTCACAGACACCCAAGTATTGTGATGTGACGTTTGTGAGACATGACTTCATGTGAATGTGGCGTTTCATCTGAGAGGGTACACTACCTGTCACAGCGGTGACAACATGTAACAACACACACTGGTGACTGCACACTTAAACCACCCGAGTGCAAAGCTTATTCTGTTATATAAGTGGCTCATCGATTCAAGTGCTGATTCTGACCTTTGAACAGCTTCGTGTGTAGAAACACATCACCTCAAAATGTCTCGTGTGAATCACATCATGTGAAGGTAAAAGTCAACATGTTGTTTTGATTATTGTGTTCGGAGCAGAATTCTAACTTTCACTAAGCATGGGTGCCCAGCGTCCACAAAAACAACACGGCAAAACCAGACAAAATGTGTTTTTGTATTGTCATGAATAAATATCAAAGCCAATCACTGGCAGACAAACCTTCCTTAGAAAATATTAAGAATCCTTTAATCTCATGTTGATCTCAGATATTTCCTTTTATTTGCCAGATTTACCGCATTTTGTAGTACGCAAGCCAGCAAGCTTTTCTGGCTATTCTGACCCTCAGTCCTCTGCACAGCGGATATATGAGCAAGAGGGTCAAAGTTCAAGGAGCAATGTTATAATTAAGTAGTTTCTCCCACTTGAATGCAACAGTTCGTACTTTGTAAGGGCGGCTGCAGTATGTACTAAAAGTAAAAAGAAAGTAAGCGATTTAGAAAGCAGTGATGGTCTACTGCAAGTCTCTATCAAGCTGCACCATGGGAAGTGTAGGATCCACTGTTTTTGAGTCATAGTGGGGAATAAAAATCAGCCAATGCTGACCATGCTTTTTATATGTATATTAAGGATTCCTTTCCTTGTGAACTTAAAACAGCACTGCAGAGGCTCAGGTTTCACAGGGCTTAGATATACCAATAGGCTGTAAATTAAAGAACTCCATAGATGTATAAAAACTGTTGTTGCGAGGAGATAGGAAGTGTGTGTGTGTGTGTGTATTAGTTGAGAAAGACAGGGTAAGATGCCAGGCCTTTGATTAACTGCACCCAGCCCAGAGTCATGAGGTGTTCCTGCCATTAGAAGACATGGAGCTCCTGCTGAGAGTGATATCAAAGGGCCACAGTCGGTGCTGCTGCTCTGCCAGCTACCTGCTGTGTCCTCCCGTCTGTCAACATAGCCACGCCGGGGCCGGGGATCACACACCGGAAGGAGGGTCAGGTGAAGAGAGGAAAGAGGAGAAGAGGAGAGGATGTGTGTGTGTGTCTGTGTTCAATAGGGGGGATAAAAGGAGGAGGAAAGAGAGGTCAGAGAGAGATTACTCACTGTCCTCCGAAGAGCTGCATGCCCAGCAGAGCAAAGACCACGATGAAGAGGAAGAGGAGGAAGAGCAAGCTGATGATGGACTTCATGGAATTGAGGAGGGACACCACGAGGTTCCTCAACGAGTTCCAATATCTGACAGAAAGACACAGAGAGAGAAATCCCTTTTTAGTTTTTGTTTTGAAAGAACAAACAGATTCAGACAAAGACAGAAACAACCAAAACAGAGGAGGAAGGAGAGGAACAAATGACAATATGAGCTGTAGGTGGCATAGAACAAACCAATGTGTCCATAGCTGCCAGTTACAGTGAATCACAGGATTAAAGTTAATTGAATGAAATAAAAGGATTGCCATCAAACTCTAACAGGATTTTCAGTTCGAAGAGAAAAGCATTAAGATTTGAGCCATGAGAAAAAAAATAATCTTCAAAATTGAGGGGTTTTAAGAGAAGCATTCATACACAGCGCTTAAAAGAATACGTTGCGATGTTGGTGATGTAGTCGTAGATGTGTTTGTTCATTCAGAACTGTGTCTGCTGAACTAAAAGCATTCAATTTGGTTTTACACTGTGAGCATGTGCTGTTAGGTAATTAAAGCCACACTCCACCAATTTTACACATTGATTTTAGACATGTTCAGCTCATTGTCCGTAGTTTCACGTGTGTTGAGAATTGAACTCACTTGGTGACTTTGAATATCCTGAGCAGTCGCAGAGCTCTCAGCACACTGATTCCAAACGATGCCCCTGGTTTAATCATGTCCCAGATCACCTCAAAAATACTTCCCACAATCACCTAGAGAGGAGAGCAGAGGATACACGATCACCTGTTGCAATAAGCATCCAAACAGAACGACCACTGCCAGTTAAAGTTAAATATCTACAAAGTCCACAGTTAACTTACCCCAAAGTCAAAGCAGTTAAAGGAGGAGTGGAAATAATTCCTCGCTCCGAGGCCGTACATCTTCAAGGACATCTCAGTCAGAAACAAACCCAGGAAGACAATCTCGGCTGTGTCTGTTTTCAAGATGGACAAGGTAACAACACAAAGAGAAACCGGTTTTATAGGCAATCGACATCAATAAGCGTGAATTGGTACGAGTGCGTATTTCTATGTATGACCTACAGAGGGCCGTTGTGAGCCAATCGGGCTGGTCATAGTGGACTATGGCCACACACAGAGTGTTGAGGCCCACCAGACACAGAACGATCCAGTAGAAGCTCTGAGCTTTCACCATGCGGCGGATGAAGAAGCGGGTCCTTTTCTCCTTACGCCGGAAGTAGGAGGAGCTGTCCATCTTACCGCCGCTCTTCATGCTGGCCCGACCAAACGGAGAGCCAGGGGGAGCTGAAAATAATGATGAAGAGGTGAGAGAGGAAACGTGAGGTTTAATTTTTGTCCATGCTTCAGTTTTCACTTTTCTATATATACTGTATATCTGTATATATTTGAATTTAACACCAGGTTTAAAAGCAGTGTTTCACTGCCCTTTGTGGTTGAAAGATCCTAGTGTGTTGGGCCTTATACCACACCCACCAGTGATGTCATGGTGTACTGCCCACACCGGCATGTACACTTGTCCATCAATGCAGCAAGATGAGAAGTAATCCCACTAAAAACAAGATGTTCAGCTGCTCTTACAAGAAGTTGGATACCCCGCTCATGTCTGTACCATAAATGTGATGAGACGGTTAGCTTAGCTTAGCATAAAGACTTGAAGCGGATGTAAACAACCAAAACTTAAACTGATAAAAGTAGCAACAGCTACCCAAGGGACAGAAAGAAAAGCACAAAATCACATTTTTTCTTGCAGCCGCTCATTAAAAAATATGCACCCAATACCTTTGTGCCCCGGGACTGCAGGCATCATGTGTGAAATGGGAGATGAAATTTAACTGTGCAGTGCATCTATTCCCTTGGCACTTAATTTTACGGAAAACAGACATGAGATGAGATAGAAAAAAAAGTAGCGAAGGCAACAAAATGGTTTCAATTACCATGCTTGTGCTCATTTCCAAACAACAGAAAAGCAATTACATGTTGTGTTTGTGTGGAACCATGAAATCCATTCCTATTAAGAATGTCTTGTTCATAGAAATAGAAGTAGAACAGACATTCCCATGCAAACCAATGTAGCAGGAGAGTCAGAGCGGCGGACATTTTTAAGTTATACCATTGCGACCATTGTAGCGAGTTAACGTCCATATAAACTAAATCGACACTTGCAAGTCGCCGACACACTGAGGTTTTGGCGTAACTACTAAAACAAGCAGTGGAGTAGTAACGTTACGAAGCGTAGAGAGCCAGAGAAAATCCGTCTCATCAAATAACTGAATGCTTCATCCACACACTCTTGTCACAGCGTAGGAAAGCACATTGCTATCTCAAGATGCGAATTAAGCACGGTGGAATTAGCAAGCTTGTTAGCTAACTAGCTGGCAGCAGGCTAATTAGCTAACTTGTAAATTCCGCCATGCTTTAATGCTACAAGCTATCAAGCTACCTAGATAGCCATCCATCTCCGGAGCTGCGTATGCTCTCTTTACAGCTAGCTGCGACAACACTTTAAGGCCCAACTTACGTATGTTGTAACCATAACAAGTAACAACGTTCACTATTTTCTTTTATACTTGTCAAATGACCACAGAAAACTGTGAGATGTCCGTTTTTCCTATTATATTTCTATGGTCTCATTCTAATAAGCTGCAGGTGATTCCCTTGCTATTTTAATGTAACAGTCTAATTAGAAAAGTTAATTATACTTCTTCTCCCTCGAGGGGATATGCTTCTACAGCAGATCCAGATAAAGCTGAATCTGCTTCTGTAATACACATTTTTAAGTTTGTGTGAGATTTCTAACAACTTCTTCTATACTATAGAGGTGACATGACATACTAATCTGATAAATGGAGACCAGAGAGTCAGTGGACATGGTTTTGTTCATTAGAGGAGACGGGTCTTTATGGTGCTTTTATTGTAAAGGTCAACTCTGTGAACAGACAGTATGTGAAGGTCAGAGATGAGGTGCTGGTGGCCGTGGATAAAAAGACTTACGAACGGAGGAGATGTCTGCAAAAGGATCCTCACCCTCCTCAGCGCCGATCAGGTCGTTTTTACCTTTCTTGACTTTGCCTCGTTTCAGGACTGTTAAGAGAACAGCGCAGAGAGGGAGGGAAGAATACCCATCTATCAGTCTTAAAATGTAATATAGGGATTGCAATATAGGAATAGCGATGTTCTGTTACGCAGAACTGTATTCTTTAACATAAATATGTGAGAGTCAAGACGTCAATTATAGCATGAAAAACAAGCATTTTAAAATTGTATTTCAATGGAATAACCCTCATCCCATCACATGGTTTATGTCCGTGTGTGTGTGTGTGTGTGTGTGTGTGCGTGTGGCAAAGTGGAGGGGTGAGCTAATTGGAATCTATGAATAGCAGGCATCAATCATGTTTTTCATTTGGAGATTTTCCACCTTCCTGCTTGAAGCCAGCCTTGGAATGAAAAACTGCCAGCGCAACATGAACGTGACCGTCACATGACCAGCTCGGTGTCACCGGGGTGGTTCACTCATTCTCCAGATCTACCGTACATCCCTGTATCTCAGCTCAGAAGGGCTGTCTGGAATTGACTGCTTGATTTTCTTTAAACAAGTGAAACAATCTCAGGGTTGTAGGTTTATTTAAAATATATACTGTATATTTTTTCCATTTCATTTTAAGATGATAAAACTTGAAGCACTCAACTAAACAACAGGAATGACTTCATAAGATGGAGATTTTTTTCAAAAGCATATATTAAAATATATTGAAACAACAAACACCTTGCTTAAGTTTACCCATCTTTTATCTCTAAATTAAATATTCAGCCTGAGGGATAATTTCCTCAATTTCTTTTTTCCAAAAACGAGATAAAAACGTTGGATAAATCGTTTTAAAACAAATCATTTTAAAATCACCTCTACTAAGCCAGTCACCAATGATTGGCACTTTGCTCCACTATTTCATACCTGCCATTCATCTGACGGTCAACTCCACATTTTCTGCTCGAACGACTTCAGAGTGTTTTTCTGCGGCTCTGGACTCAGACTGTTTAATCCCTGATATGTAACTAATTGAGAAATAAGGCAGCTGGGTACTGTCACTTTACTGGAATCATCAGCAGGGATGTGTTTCCAGTGCGTGTCTGTTCACTAGCAAATGCCTTTCCATATGTAAGTGTGTGTGTGTGTGTGTGTGTCTGTGCTCGTGTTGGGGAGCTCGGTATAGTGAATTCTCTTCAACAAATCCAATCAGACTAAAGCTGTAAATCCCACTAATTAACCCTTGCCCTCACACCAGGTCTAATGGACTGACATCATGGGCGAGAGAGAGAGAGAGAGAGAGAGAGAGAGAGAGAGAGAGATTGAGAACAGAGGAACAGCGTGCTCCCTTTGAAATAAAGGCAAAAGAGTATAGAGTGGAACTGGAAACCTTGATTACCACTCAAATAATCATAATCATATGTGCTCATTATATGATTGATGGGTGGCTGGCATGGCTTCAACCAGCACATTTTGCAGTAATAGGGATTAATGTAAAGCCGTCTTACACTTGTTATACTTGTTTTACTGTAATGTTGCCTATTAAAATAATTAAATATGTACGTATATTCAGAGCATTAACATAACAGCAAACAACTCTTTGCTCAGTAAAGATATATTGGAGTAATGTCTAGCTGAGCAGAGTCATTCTCCCTCTGTAGGTGTTGTAATCCGAGCTTCTCTGTGCTTTGTATTGGTAATGGGTGCATGTGATGTGTGTCTGTCCCACTGGCTAGCTAATGCATAGCCGATCATTTACGCACAGCACATTAATGCTGTAAATAAGCTATTATTAAATTGAAATGAGTAACTGTACCTCCTGCTGTGATGGACTATGGTGAAGCAGGAAGCAGATACTCAGCCTTCTTTTTACCTGGAAGGTTTTGTTTCCTCTTGTACCACGCACCATCCAGCGGGGACTTCTCCTCTGCAATCTCCTCCTCCTCCTCCAGCAACACCTCCTCTGCAGCGAGAAAGAGAGAGAGAGAAAGGAGAGAGGGACTTTCTATCAATTTGTCATGCTTTTCTAACACAACAAACACATGCATGCCAGCTCTCACACTGTTTCAGAGACGAGTCTGACCTGCTTTGCAGATCCACTCCAAGTACCCGGTGAGCTCTCTCTCGATCTGCTGCTGCCTCCGGAGCTTCAGGAACTCCTGCCTCTTCTCCACACGCTCTCTTTCTTTGGCAAATTCTCTGTTGAAACAAATACACAGATATTTTCTACACACAAAAAGAACAAATAGACATTTTATCACATTTGCCATTTTGGATTTAAAGGTAAAATCTTTTTTTCCCCTCTCGTGTCAGTAATCTGCCAGGAGACAACCTGCACATGTGCATTCACAGTAACAAACAGGATTATGTGAATTGCAAAACCAACACATTTGTGAGACACTGCCTCATGGGAATGAAGGAAATAAAGGGTTCAAGCGTTCGTCTGCAGGATAATTTACTGTGGAGTTCAGAAAGCAGGGCAGCTGTTGAGGGCACGGAAGAGGTAAAGCTGGCAGGTAGTTATGAAACTTATGGACAAGATCTTCTTTCAGACCTTCTATAACCTTATTTGTTGTCTTTCGTTTCGCCACCGTTGAAGTCTGTTTGCACTGATATGCTTTCATTTTTCCGGTGCTCTGCTCTTCTTAATGCCATTTGATAGGAAGCTTTCCCTGGGACCATAGACAGCCGAGTGAGGTGCGTACTATAATGTATATTGTTTTGGGGTAAACTATTCCTTTAAAGGCATTGCTCGACATTTTGGGAATTATACATCTTTGTTTTTGTGCCGAGTGTCATGGTACGTGTTCACAGGATCGTCATTTCCACGCTTCCCATTCATTATGTATGTAAGCAGCCGCGCAATGCATTCTGGTAGCGCAGTGTTGCGTTTTGAGAGACGGAATCGTCATGTTGCTTATTTGCATAAATCTGAGTGCTAGGCTACTTTATGCAAATCAGGGGCATCAAGCGTGACTCGCCGCTTCTGAAAACTCCCCAAAACGTTTAAACTAACCATTGTTGATTGAAAATGAAGACGGATTCAGCGACTGCATGGCTAATTTCGGGCCTCAAATGTTTTTTAGAAAAAAATGTCTGTGAACTATTTTAATAATATAAGACAGCAAAAGTTTCCAAACAAGCCCCTCTATAGGTTCGATTTAACAGCCCTCTTGAGTGAAAGTGTCCGTCCAATCAGGTGCCTAGTGCATAGTGGCAGCCCATCAGGCAGCCAATGCTGAGAAGCTGTGTGACACTTTGCATCCAAAAGTACCTCTGTGGACACATAGCATTAGCTGATGTCACTCTCTTGTCTGTATGCTGTAACGTACTAAATATCATAATATCACCTAACCAACAGTGATGGGAGAAGAAACAGAAAGGGATGACTGAAATGAAATAATTTACACAATAATTTATTACAAACATAGAAAAAAAATAGAAATCCACTCCTTATCGTCCGATACAGTTTTTCATAAGAATGACAGGGAAGCTTCCTCAGCACTGGGTTGTTTTTTTGTGATTGTCGAGACAAGGGGCTGTGAGTCACGCCAGGTGGAAGGAGGCTCTTTGTGAGCACAGACACAATGAGATGGACACATGTCAGATCCAGCAGCACACAGGACCCGGACAATTAAAGCCACAGAGCGAGGCCTTTTCATGACACCAGAGGATATCAGGGAGAGATGATGAGAAACCGAGATAGATATACGATATGAACAATCTGCTGATTTTATTCAATTCACAGTTAATTCAGCATTTCCTCGCAACCTCCTCCTCCGTTGTAGTAAAGAAACGGGACATTCACCCAGGAGACCGCTGTTCACGTCCAATGTGAAACCGAAAGTAAACATTGACTTTACACTTGCTAAGGGCGGTTGTTGTTTATTTTCACTAGTTGTGTTGTTATGGTTGTGATGTTACATTATATTATTAGTTATTATTTCAACACAAATCGTGATCTTTTTTTCTTACCGTAACCATTGTTTCACAACGTTATTCATGTGGCATTGTGCTTTTCTGCAAGTGTGATACGAGGCTGATATGAAACGTATTTTTTTTGTTCTGAAACGTTGACACACAACGGATCTCAGAGTTTGCAAAAATGCACAATGGCATCGTTTTTTTTCTGTCGACTGAGAACAGTTATGAAATGTTTGCGGTAATAAAAAGTAAAGAGAAGAATGAGAAGAAAAAAATACAAATAAAATGCTGATTATAAACTAAGTAAGAACTTTTTAATCTCTAGACTGTTTGCAATGCCAATTTATAAATTTGATTTTTACTTAGATGCTTGCACTATTTATTAATGTATTACATTTTTACACATTTTTAATACAGAAATTAAACTCAAGCATTTTATCGTTAACAAATGTTTAGAGTTGACTTACCCAGAGAGGACACCGAGCACCAGGTTGAGCATGAAGAAGGAGCCGATGATGATGAGAGGGATGAAGTAGAGCCAGTTCCAGGCGTTTCCAGCTACATCATTGGTCTGGACACACGAACACACACACAAGGACGGACGTAAGAAGAAGCAAGTCATCACAGTCACACACATTCTACCAATAGCATATATATATATAAATAAAGAATACATTTTTCAACATATCATCTGCAAAGCGTAAGCATAGTTTTTTCTCATGTAAAATAAAGTGTGAAACCTAAAACCAAAATGCAAAGAGTCAGCAGTACCACAAATAAACTCCACGAATGCTTGATTCCAGTTAGGAAGTCATCTTTGTAAGAAATGGCAAATGAACTTAAAATAACAAGTCATTTTGTTTTGTTTTGAATGAACCAGCTTGAGCTGAGCTGATTGTGTATGAATATGTATTATCTCGCATTCCCATTTCCCATCAACCGCTGTAACGAACAATGTATTTTTTACAAACCTGGAACTGAACAAAAACACTTGCCAACTTGCCTCATTAGAAAGTTACTTTTCAAAAAAAAAAAAAAAGAAGCAATTAAAAAAGTCTGTGAGCTATGTACCAAACAAACACAACAACCCCGATATCACGGTGAAACAACTGTTGAATTCAGCACGAGTTACAGCTCAGAAACATCCACTTTGAATAAATAGCTCACAGGCAAATAGGTGTGACCATTCAGCCTTTTAATATGAGCCGCCACGGCCGGGGGTTGGTTAAATGACTGACACACGTGCACATACAGAGAGTTAACTGCTGGTAGTAAGTACTGGCCAATGACCACCACTGCATGCAGGAGCACGCCACCCACCACCTCAGCATTGACCCGTGTTATTTTACCATAGCATGTATGCTGATTTATTGACTAATAGCTGGTACATGTGTGCATTAATCTGCTGCTAGAACAATGTTTGCAACATGTTCTCACTCCCAACTCGTCAAATACCACACTTGGTCAGTGCTCCTGAGCTTAAAATGACGACGCTCTAGGTAACCCACTAGCATCCCTTTTGAATGTGTCAGTAACAACATGTCACTTTCCGCTTGTTACATGCCAAGAGTCTTTTCAAAATAAACTTCCAACGTAGGTTTCCTACTTACTTTACGTTTTTATTTTACGCAACAAAAGTACTTTGTTTGTTTAGTAAAATACTACACTTTTTATTTAGCGGGTGATAGTTAAGTATGAAAATTGCAGAACAAAACTACAGTAAAATAAATTAATGTTGACGTTGAACTAACGGCAGTCTCCAGAGCTCTATGAACTTGCCATTAAGCATGGGGCAACGTCATGTGTGAAGTGGGGAGAGGTCAACAAAGTGTCCACACAAAATACAATGCAAAACTTTCTCCTCAATGTAACTATAAAGTATTTGGATCCACATACATTTGGCCATCTTGTGTGTGTCCCCCATACCAAATTCATGCATGGATAAATGTTTTTACTGGTACGGATATCCTCAATGCCTTCTTGTCATAGAAGAAAAAGAACAGGTGTTACAGTCAGAACATTAACGTTGGCGCCGTTCTATTCCCAGTAAGTGTCCCAGTTAGTCGCGACAGTGTGACAGTGAGCCGGTATGCACAACACCAGGTCTTATATTTAATTTAAAGTATTCCTTAGATGCTTTTTTGACCTGACTGTGCACTTAGCTGCAGGGCTGATGTTCATGCTTGTTTGCCATCGGGGGGGGATTCATGTCTCCGAGCGCTCCCACACAGCCGCCTGCGAGCGGGGGACAGACCTGTGGACTGATGGGCTGTGTGAAGCACAGTGACATTTTGCAGACGCCAGTGTCGGAGAGCTGCCACGCGCTGGCTGTAATTGTGATGGGAGGTTCGGGTCGGCTGAATCAGCAGGCCTGAGATCTATATTATGCACCCGGGTATGTGAGATGAGCACACACACACACACACACATATACAGTAGCACACCCTCTGTCTCAGCTGTCAGAGGAGCAGCAGGATAAATGGTTATCGGAAGTTGCAGCGTGTTGCTCGGCATACATTTTGTTTTCTGCATGTCCAACATCTCGTCATGTCTTTCTCTGCATCTCTTCCTCTTTCTCTCCACATTGGCTCTGTCCAATGCTCAAAAATACATCTACCGACACCTCTTATGCTCACTGATTAACAAGTGGCATCTTGTTTGTTCAACCCGCACATCAACAAGTTTTATAGCAGGTCACACGCTGGTACTATTTGATTTGCAAGCAGCAGCTGGGTGCAGTGACTGTGCGCATGTTGAGCTTAGCTTTATGGCATTTCACTTTTTGGTTCAGTCCCATCGCTCTCAGAAACAAACAGTCCTGTCCCGCACCACGCGGCAGACAGCAAACAATCAGATACAGCCGTTGCCAATACAGGGTCAGATATTTCCCTCATACGTTGGTGGAGACCAAAACAGAGTTTAAAGGAGAGTGAATATTGAACAAATTAAAATGACCAAAACACAAATAAAAAGGAATTCCAGGATGTTGGATGGTTTAAAGTTTTCCCTATCCTCTAACGATCTGTGTAAATAAGTTATTTGGCTAGTTTGTCATCTGTGGTCAGAATTAGGTAACACGCGGCTTTCTTTTCTGTTTGCAGGAGCAGTAGATATCTTCTCTCTCTCTGGGGAACTCTGTCTGGTGTGGAGCACAAAATAAAGTGGAAATGCACTCGGTTGCATCAGCTTTCAGTCCCAGAGTCAGCTGGTGAGGAGGGAAGACTTTTCTCTCCTGTTGATGAGACCTTCATTCTTCAGCTGACTGCTCAGGCAGGCGAGCTGAGTTCAGTTGAAATTGTGCAAATCTTTTTTTTTAATTTTTTATTTCATATTTCATATTCTGGAACAGCAAGGTGTTTTTTTCTTCTCCGATTTAAGAGGTTGTACAAGCTGAACACAATCGAGCCCATTGAATCTGATTTTGCATTGATTCTTATCAAAAATAAAGTTGTATCCACAGTTCTCTTCATAATAGGGACATTGCTTAATGTACATAAATGATCAGTGTCATCATGAAATTCTGTTGATTTAAACGATACGACATCAGCACCATGACCAAACAGAAGAAGGGATGCTATACTTGAAAACTTTATCGTTTCATCTGCAGAGGCCCCAATGTAAAGACCAGCATGTCAGATTTAGTAGACTGACATGATAGACATTCTTGTCTTGGTTGTTGGTATCGGCAGAGGAGAGGAGGGGAGAATAGAGAGCTGTACCGTGGCCCCTGGGCAGCATGGAAGGACATCCATCACTTCAATTTATCATATGTCACTTCAGGATGGAGGGTGTGATCCAGTATTCTATATTACAAACAGCCTCTGGCAACATCAGACAAACACAGCTGTGGTTCCCTCTACATTTAATTCACATAGTAAGGCTAAGATGTTTGTGGTCACGATTTTGCTGCAAGTCTGCAGAATTTCACAATGTGGTACTATCTTGAAAACAACCAAAAAAAAGGAGCAATTTTTCATACTACAGTGTACAGACTTTTGTATATAAAGATCACCAAATCGTAAATGTTCCAAGTGAAAGGCTCTGCTTTGAACCCCACCTTTAAGCACACTGGGTATGGAGCCATGCAATGAGATTAAAACACACAGCGTGCAAGGCAAAAGAGCAAATACAGGGCATATGGCAATCAAAGCCACTGGCTGTACTAATTAAGTTCATTACAAAACTACTGATGCACTATGTTGCCTTTGGCAGTGCTTCTAATGACCCCATATGTTGTTTAAGTGCAATGCGATGACAGAAGAAAACTAATACAAGAGTAAAATGGAGTTATGAGTATAATAAGGTCTATTTATTTGGAAACACTGAGAAAGCTAATATACTTTTAAAACACACACCAAGCATTCTGTATAAAAAAACATATGGGACTGAAAACAGAACCTCCATGGTGGATGTAAAAAGTTGCCTCCTACATTTCGTTGATGTCAAAAAACGAACTTCAGTGACTTATATTCACTGATCTTGATGTATTTATGAGTTCACTTGATATCATTATTCCACCTCTGTTATTTCCATGAGTCATCGCTGGCTGACTGCTCCGAATGATCAGCGAGGAAAAAGCAAACGCTGCCACATAATTTGGAGTCATGCATCATGCAGTAGTGGTGTGACAGTGTACTCCCACTCTCAGCTTACAGTGCTGCCACCACACACACACACACACACACACACACACACACACACACACACACAC